TAGTCATAAAACATTATGAGCATATTTGATTTTATATACATTTCCTGTTTTTCTAAAAAGAAGTAAAAACATTCTTTGTTGCCTGATACCAATTAGTCTGTGATATTTTCATGCATACTCCGTTATACTATTATATGTACAACTAATAATACTAATCCTACTAAGTAAGTTGAGTGCTCGCGTGCATGTGTTTGTCTTTTGTGGAACTGTGTAAATATTTGGCATATATTTGAATTTAAACATTTCCCTAAATACCTTCTAATAATAACACATTTTTATTGCTGCTCTTCTCCTGCACCAACCTTCTCTGAATTTCTTGATGAACACTATTTTCACTGGTTTATACATACATTAGGGGGCCATTCTGTCATCCCAACATGCTACAGTACTTAGTGAAAATAATAAAATTAGTTTTTGGATATGGACAAATTATAAGGTGTTTAGATGCTGTCAATAACAACATTCTCAAGGGACATTTCTAAAACAAATCATGGATCACCTTAAAATTAATTTCAAAAGTCAAACTTTTTTTTTTATCTCTGCTGATAGCACTTTGTTGGCAGTTCTTCCTTTACAGCCAAAAGCGTCGTGATTATTTACATAAATGAACAAAGCTCAATTCCCCTTGTAGAGTAACTGCGGCCGCATCTGTGCTAGAAGCAGTTCTGTGCCATCTATAGGAACAATAATATACCTACTGCTAATAACCTGCACCCAGTAGTGCAGGCCAAAGGCTGGTTATGGCTGCTGTTTAAAAAGACTTCAGTTTCTGGCATATGTCCTCGCAGCACTTTGCCAAAACTGTTTCCATCAAAACCGATTACACAGATTTGAATCCAAACAATCTGTCACGTACTTTGGCCATTTATGCTGCTCAGTCAGAAAAGCATGCAGTATAATAGTTGTAATAGCTGTAATATATTAAAGACACACACAGGTACAAACACAGCAGGCTAGTATTGACATTAATCGATTCTTCCCAGCGCTATTGTTCTTGTCTTTGGGAAGTAAATCCCAGATTATTTTTTTGTTATATCACAAGCCTGATCAGGTCAAATCTCAGTCCTCCATTATCAACCTTGCCCTCAACAAAAAAGCCAGGTGGTACACACACAGACACACGTGTGCTTCCATAATTTAGAGTGGAAGACAAGGCCAAACCCTGGAGAAGCTTTTATTACTTAATGCCAATAATCATAGTGTCATGTTGAGGGACCAAGTCAATATCTGTGTGTGCTCTCTGCCTTGATGAAGCCAGCCACTAGGGTACACGAAGCCGTGTTTATAGTGCCAGTCCCAAGCCCGGATAAATGGTGAGGGTTGCGTCAGGAAGGGCATCCGGCGTAAAACGTTTAGCTAAATCAAATATGCAGATCAATAAAACGATTTCCAGACCGGATCGGTCGAGGCCCGGGTTAACAACGACCGCCAACAGTGCCGTTGACCAACAGGGCACTGATGGAAATTGGACTACTGTTGGTCAGAGACAGAGAAGAAGAGGAGGGCGTTTGGTTAGGAGAAAAAGAGAAAAGATGAAGAATAGAAGTGTTAGTCTGAAGTTTGGAACTTTGAATGTAGGTACAATGACAGGGAAAAGTAGAGAAATAGCTGATGTGATGGAGAGAAGAAGAGTAGATATTTTGTGTGTGCAGGAGACCAGGTGGAAGGGCAGTAAGGCTAGAAACATTGGAGGAGGCTACAAACTGTTTTATCATGGTTCAGATGGGAAGAGAAATGGAGTAGGGGTGATCCTAAAGGAAGAATATGTAAGAAATGTGGTAGAGGTGAAAAGAGAGTCAGACAGGTTGATGTGTGTGAAGGTAGAAGTAGAAGGAGAGATGATTAATGTTGTTAGTGGTTATGCCCCACAGGTGGGCTGTGAGTTGGAAGAAAAGGAGAAGTTCTGGAAGGAGCTAGATTGGATGGTAGAGAGTATCCCCAGGAGAGAGAGAGTGGTGATTGGAGCAGACCTAAATGGTCATGTAGGGGAAGGGAACAGAGGAGATGAGGAAGTGATAGGCAGGTTTGGTGTTAGGGAGAGAAACGTAGAAGGACAGGCAGTGGTAGATTTTGCAAAGAGAATGGAAATGGCTGTGGTAAACACATATTTCCAAAAGAAAGAGGAACATAGGGTGACTTACAAGAGTGGAGGCAGGTCCACACAGATAGATTATATTCTATGTAGAAGATGTAATCTGAGGGAGATTAGAGACTGTAAGGTGGTGGCAGGTGAGAGTGTAGCCAAACAACATCGGATGGTAGTGTGTAAAATGACGATGGAGGTGACAAAAAGGAAGAGAGTGAAGACAGAGCAGAAGATCAAGTGGTGGAAACTAAGGAAAGAGACATGTTGTGAAGACTTCAGGAAGGAAGTAAGGGCAGTTCTGGGTAGTGTTGAGATATTCCCAGATGATTGGGAGACTACAGCTGCAGTGATGAGGGAGACAGGTAGGAAGGTGCTAGGTATGTCCTCTGGGCAGAGAAAGGAGGACAAAGAGACCTGGTGGTGGAATGAGGAGATCCAGGAGAGTGTGCAGAGAAAGAGATTAGCGAAGAAGAGATGGGACAGTGACAGAACAGAAGAGAACAGACTGGAGTACAAAGAGAGGACAAGGGAGGTGAAGAGGGAAGTGGCCAAGGCCAAACAAAAGGCATATGAGGAGTTGTATGAGAGTTTGGAAACAAAGGAAGGAGAAAAGGAGTTGTATAGATTGGCGAGACAGAGAAATCAAGCTGGGAAGGATGTGCAGCAGGTGAGGTTGATTAAGGACAGAGAGGGGAATGTGATCACAAGTGAGGAAAGTGTGCTGAGAAGATGGAAGGAATACTTTGAGGAGTTGTTAAATGAGGAAAATGAAAGGGAAAGTAGAAACGAGGAGCCAGAGACTAGTAGGAAGAAGGTAGATCAGGTTAGAAAGGATGAAGTTAGAAAAGCCCTGAAGAGGATGAAGAGTGGAAAGTCAGTTGGTCCTGATGACATACCAGTGGAAGTATGGAAGTGTTTAGGAGAAGTGGCAGTAAATTTCCTGACTGGTTTGTTTAACAGAATTTTAGAGACTGGCAAGATGCCTGATGAGTGGAGAAAAAGTGTTCTGGTGCCAATTCATAAGAAGGGTGATGCACAGAGTTGTAACAACTACAGAGGGATAAAGTTGATGAGCCATACAATGAAGATTTGGGAACGAGTAGTTGAAGCTAGGTTGAGGCAGGAAGTGGAGATTTGTGAACAACAGTATGGTTTCATGCCTAGGAAGAGTACCACAGATGCAATATTTGCCTTGAGGATGTTGATGGAGAAGTACAGGGAAGGTCAGAAGGAGCTGCATTGTGTATTTGTAGATCTAGAAAAGGCATATGACAAAGTGCCAAGGGAGGAATTGTGGTTTTGTATGAGGAAGTCAGGAGTGGCAGAGAAGTATGTTAGTTTGGTGCAGGACATGTATGAGAATAGTACAACAGTAGTGAGGTGCGCTGTTGGGAGGACAGAAGACTTCAAAGTGGAGGTGGGACTACATCAAGGATCGGCCCTGAGCCCCTTCTTGTTTGCTGTGGTGATGGACAGATTGACAGATGAGGTCAGACAGGAGTCCCCATGGACTATGATGTTTGCAGATGACATTGTGATCTGTAGTGAGAGTAGGCAGCAGCTAGAAGAGAACCTAGAGAGGTGGAGGTTTGCACTAGAAAGAAGAGGAATGAAGGTCAGTCGCAGCAAGACAGAGTACATGTGTGTAAACGAAAGGCAGAACAGTGAAATAGTGAGGCTACAAGGAGCAGAGGTGGTGAAGGTGCAGGAGTTTAGGTACTTAGGATCAACTGTTCAGAGCAGCGGAGACTGTGGAAGAGAGGTGAAGAATAGAGTACAGGCAGGATGGAACAGCTGGAGAAAAGTGTCAGGAGTGATCGGTGGCAGAAGAGTGTCAGCTAAGGTGAAGGGAAAGGTTTACAGGACAGTGGTGAGACCAGCCATGATGTATGGTTTAGAGACAGTAGCAATAGGCAGAAGACAGGAGGAGGAGCTGGAGGTGGCAGAGTTAAAGATGCTAAGATTCTCTTTAGGAGTGACAAGAATGGACAGGGTCAGGAATGAGGTCATTAGAGGGACAACACAGACAGGAAGGTTTGGAGAAAAAGCTAGAGAAGCCAGATTGAGATGGTTTGGACATGTGCAGAGGAGGGACAGTGGATACATTGGTAGAAGAATGTTAGAGATGGAGCTACCAGGTAGGAGAAAGAGAGGAAGGCCAAAGAGGAGATATATGGATGCAGTGAGGGAGGACATGCAGGTAGTTGGAGTCAGAGTAGAAGATACAGAGAACAGGGAGAGATGGAAATCAATGATTTGCTGTGGCAACCCCTGAAAAAGGGACAAAGCCGAAAGAAAAAGAAGAAGCTCTCTGCCTTGATGCTCTCTCTCTTTCTTTCTCTCTCTCTCTCCCTTGCTCAGTCTATATCCCTTGTGTTTTCATACTTTTCAACTTGTCTTTGTTTCCCGCTCCTCCTCACTGTCTCTGTGTCTCCTCTTGTCTTTGCACTTTTTTTATTTTTTTTTAATTTGTGAATGTTTGAAGATTGAAGATGCCGGATAAATGGCAGCTGTTCAGCCTCACACAAACACCACACCTTTCTTCCGCTACCTGTGGTGCTTTCCTTCCTGTCACTGTGGTGAATGCATCACAAGTATAAGTCATATATGAAAGTTCCACATTTATGAATGGATTCCTGCCAAGCTCATGCTATGGCGCAAACACACACACACACACAGAGACTGAGACTCACACACACACATGTGTGCATATACATGCGCATAAGAATGGTGACACACTCATGTAATGTATTTAGAATTCTGAATTTGCAGCTTCAAGGTCATCGCCATGGCAGCTAGGAAATATGTTACTACGGAAACCCCTGTTGAGGCTCAGAATTGATTCACATTTTGGTGTTTTTTCTTCTTCTCCATCCTTGTCTATTTGTGAAAATAGTGATGGAGTTTCACTCACAGGTGTCGGTTTTGAGCAAACTGTTTGTGCTCCTGAAGTACTGAGGGTTTTCGATCACCGGGATATTAGTCATGCCAATGATGACCGCGTCAGGGCCCATCTCTGAGGATGATGGAGTGTTGCTGCCATTGGAGACGTGGTGGAGAGGAGAGGCAGAGTCATCATCATTGCTGATTACCGATGACGGTCCTGTGAGTGAGAGAGTGGGAGAAGAAATAGGGGAGTTCAGTATGTTTACCAGCATCTCTAAAGTCACTGAGAATGATCAGAGAATACAAGAGCCAGCGAGCCAGTTCAGCTCACGTAGGATTGATAGTGTAAGGACGCTGGAGAATTAATTACGTTGTTAAGTTGTTATTAGCATAGATTGAATAGATGAGATCATAAAGCAGGGAAGTAAGAAGTTGGTATCACATTTAACCTTTCAGAGATAAAGAACACATTTACAACGGTGCAGTACAGTACTGCAAAGTACTCATTCCTGGTAGACTACATAAATGATGTATTAAATCTATGAAGTAATAAAATTCTTTGTTTCTTAAAATGTGTAAACAAAATACAATATTATTTAAAATTGTTCAGTGAAACAAATCCATTAATCAAAATTAATGGGGTTGAATTATTTGTAATAGTCCTTGAAATTATTGGAATTTTTCAGCTATTTTTAAAATCCACCCACTTTTGCCAATCCTAAATGGAAAATGTTTAACTATGCTGCTATTTAACAAAATTACAGTGTTTTCCCATGGTTGTCTGTTTGATGACAAAGATTTTCTAGCTAGCTTCTGCGCATTGTGATGGTCACAACTGGCCCATCCTGTTTAAGCCATATGTGGACTAGAATGATACCAATTAAATGCTCCCTCTCCATGGCCAGATACAGAAAACCAGAGGGCAAAATTATTGTCAAATGCCTGATGAACTGGCCAAAGTATTAGTTTTTTAGCACACTTAGGGCTTATATTTCCTAAGTTATGTTAGATTTCAGTGGTTTTCACATTTGGTTGGGTCTGCAGCAGGAAGCTGATAAGACACCAAAAGGCCTCCCCGAGCACACACAGTCACATAGCCCCACACATTCAAAGAGAATTTCCCCAAACTCTCTTCACACCAACTTTCTAAAACACCTCTCTTCTCCCTGGGAACAATAGGACATCTCCCAATCTACCTTCTCACAGGGAACCCGAGAGCCACCCATTCCTTTTGATCTACATGACCACCTGTGGTTGACTGGACTTTATGGCTCTGTCCACTTCCCTTGTGATAACCCCCCACTCAGCAACAAAAGGTTCTTCCAACACTGCTGAATCATGGAACAGCAGTGCCACATAGTGGTGACTGCAGGCATCACATGATACAAGAACAATAATATGATTGGCCACAAGAGGCCTAGCCTCTCTCTTCCATTGGCCTACAAGATTTAAACACACACCCGGGAAGTCGAAAACCACTCCCCCCACACAGGTATATA